TATGTATTAGGTCCTCTGAGTCCAAATAACCAAGTCCCGCAAAATGGTCTGTGTGAGTGTGTTAACAGTCTAGCTCAAAAACGAAGTCGAAAGAAAGTGAAATTGCATATTTAAGGTTTTTATATGCTAGTAGATGTTACAGCAACTTTTTGTCAAAATCGGCTAACTGGAAGTGGCACTTTATATCATGGACAAAAAACTTTTTTTTACGATCTTCTTGAAAACGGCTCTAACGGTTTTGATTAAATTCCTTTTATCAGTGTAAAATTAAGCAGTTTTAAATAAAATATAGTTTTTATTCTGATTGGTGTTCTCTAACAGGGTTTAAATGGCTAATTTTCAATATTAGCTTCCTCTAAAGTACCTTTAATTTTTTTTATTTGAAACAATTGACCATTTCATTAATCTTTAATATAAAAGATAGTTGAATATAAAATATGAAAGAATTTGATAATTAACTAAAGCAGAAATGAGAGATCGTAACGGAGAATAGTTGTAACTGAGGAACTAAAGGAATAAGAGCGCACCCGAAAGATTATAAGCTTCCATACATAGCATGAGGTTAATTACGAATTCTGACAATATTATATAAATATACATATGCAGTTTTCATATACTTCCCTTTGTCTGAAAATAATTATTTCTGCTCAGAGGGTGGTAAGTGAAAGTTGTGTGATGCGTGCAATGCACCAGATTTTTTTAGATTATATAGGCATTATAATTAAAGACATTATACCATAGGTATTTTTTGCAACTAAAATGAAGTTCCTACTAGTTTTTGACTACTATTTATTAAAATTAGAGTTTTTAATAATATAATATGATCAAATTAAAAAAAAAGTAGGATGGCAGTCAAGATGTTAAACAACAAATAAAATGTAATTTAAAATACAAAAAGATAAATATCGCTTAAGCCAATTAAATACTCCTGTAATTTAAAAAATAAATATTACAATAACTTAATGACTCCCTTATTTTTATATATTTCTTAATTATATAATAAGCATATGTTCAGTTTTAGCAAGGAAAGAGAAAGAGTGAAATAGTTCTGTATAATAATGTATGAATTAATTTGAGTATGTAATACATGAATTAATTTGAGTATGACAAAGTTACATAGATATTTAAGATTAAATGTAAAAATAAGGAAGTTAGAAAGTTCACTATAAATTATTGGAAATTCCTGAAAATTTGCAAATTAGATATAAACTTACATAAGATAAATATTATATAAAAATTCATGAAATTTAACAATTGATTTTAATTATTTAATATAAAAAAATAATTTAAGCATGATAAAAAAAAATATTAGCAATATGAATCCATTAGGAAATATTTCTTTTTTTATAAATGCAGTAGTACACTTCAAAATGATAATATTAGATGAAATAACTGTAACAAATTAAAAACTTAGTTGTCAATCATAAGTTCTATAAAATCTGTTTCGATGGTACTGCTCAGTACAACAACTGCCACACTTGAATGTTTCATTGAAACAGCTCTCGCATTAAGTATTCTAATTTAAAATGAAAATGTTAGTCTTAAATGGTTTCAATTTGTGTCAGAAGGGCTGGCAATATATTCTTTGGTACAGTTTTATCTTATATAATTAATATACACCACTTTTTCCTGGTACATTAGTTGGAAAATGTGATTACGTTAAGTCAGTACTTTAAAATGTTAAACATTATCTACCCCTTCCAAGATATTTTATTTCCCACCTTTTCTTAAAAACAGAGCAAGCAGTCATAGAATTAGAAAAATCGTAGAACATATGCAATTACACTTACTGCGATCTGTCACATGCCCCTCAGTCTGAAACTTTTTATTCTGAAAATTCATAACCCCGTCGAAATGTGCCCCTCTCAAAAATTCAAAAACCCATTAAAATGTTCCCCCCTCAAAATTTTTGATGGAGCAACTTGCACCATGAAACCACCTTCTGGACACCTCTGGTTGGATTTAGGTATATAGGAATCCCTCTATAAAATTCTCTTATAATTAAAAATGATTCGCTTTAGTTTTGTATAAATTTTAAATCATTTTTCAATTAATTTTGTTTGACTTGTTGAAAAAAAAGGAAATTAAATGTAACAACGTAACTCATCATCAAAACATTCCTGAAACCAACGTACTGCCAACAGCTTCACTGTTTCTGGAGCAGTATAGACATGACATTGTACCTATACTGCCGAGCAGTATGATGAATGAAATATACTCTTTTCTGCAAGACTAAAGCAGTTGTTGCGGGGAACAGTACTACCGAAATAGTATCTTAAATAATGAAAAATTAAGCACGATAGGCCTTCTTGACTGCGGTATATTTTTGCCACATAAAAAAAAAAATGAAAAACTACATACTATCTATGCATAAATTTTAAAAATATAATATCAAATAGTATGTTCTTTGGAAAAAAAAATATTCACTTAAAATAGATTATTACAGTAAGTTCTCTGTTCTGAGTTTTCGGACAAAGCTTGAGACAAAAACTGATAGATTCAATTCAACATTTGATAACACACTACAACCTTTTCATACATCTCAATTTTAATAAATCTATCAATGGTTTTGTCTGAAATATGACAGGTCAGAGAGAGAGAGAGAGAGAAAACATAATGTTATTTACAATTATTAATTGCTAGATAATTCTCAAAATTGTAATGAGTGTGTAGAGTGATAACATAAAAGGCACAGGTTATGAACACACAGCTGGCGTGAGCAAGGAGGTTATTTAAAATGGGTTTGTCACTGTCACGTTCATTCTTCTGAAGTTCAGGAATGGCTGGATCCTTCTGTTGTTCAGCGACTCCTGAACTTCAGAAGAATGAACGCAGCAGTGACAAATCCATTTTAAATAACCTCTCTGCTCACGCCAGATGTTTGTTGATAAGCTGTGCCTTTTATATTATAATTGTACTCTACACTGCTTGCAGTATCATAAAACCCAAACGGTTGTCCATGCTTCAATCTTATAGTTTTTAGTTTGTAAAATTTTCTAAGATACAATCTGAACTTTAATACATTTACATAAGGTTTCTAACATTTCAGATTGTGATTTTATGCTTAAGTAATATGTTTTGCAAATATAGAATTTAGATAAGCTTATGATATCTGTTATGTGATGTTTTACGATAACATTGAGCGTTTTAACTAATACTAAGATCGTGAAATACGATACAGACAGTTTACACAACATTAATTCTTTTAGGTTTCCTAATTTTCAAATTATTTTAGAATGAATTTGGCACCAATGACAAAGTAAGATACACTATTCATATTAAAATATACTATAACTGGATGCACCAGTAATTTATAAAATCATTTTATAATATATATTACACAATATTTCTAAGAAATTGAATATATATTCAATATGTCCAATGACGACAGGGATAGGTAAAAGACTGCTTCTAAATCCTCCAGACAAAAGTGGTTTAAATAATGGAAAAATGAACCTGGCATAAATCACAATACTAATTGATCTAATCATATGAAATACTTTACAAACAATTTCTCACTTAAAAATTAATATTACCAGCATAATATTAATTATAGTAATATTAATTTTTAAGTGAGAAATTGTTATATATATATACATTTATAATAAGATGGAAGAATACACAGAAATATTTCTGTAACGAATATACGGTGTTGCCTACAAGAATAATCATTATTTTATATTAATTGATTATTTCATGAAGACAAAAGAATAAAACATTATGTAATGAGGTTAAAAATCATTTGTTATATTACTTAGTTTTTTATCAATGACAGTCTTTTATTTAAATTATTTTATTTTACATTTTAAAATTTGAGCTTTCGTTTCCAGCACCATATTCATTGCTATCAATTCTAAATATAATATTAAAATTTTATAGCTGATAATTTGAAATTATAACAACTCTACTAATTTTAGCTTTAAAAAAATTTAAATATAATGAAACCAGATGAAGAGCACAGTTGAAATTATTTATTCTTTAAATAGAAAGAGTTAGGATTAAAGACATTAGTTTAGCATGTCAAGTGCAAAATTACATAATAAATAAATTATTAATGTTACAATTTATTATTGTATTTGGAATTTATAAGCACAGCAAAAGCTTATCTAACTTTAAGATGTAAAATAAAATAATTTAAAACTGTCATTGATAAACAACCTTATATTAACTAATAATTTTTGTTTGTATATTGTTAAATCTATTGATAATATTTTTATATATTTGCTGTTCATTTTTCCGTTATTGTTAATCAGATCTGGAAAGGAGAATGACTGCCAACCCATGATTATGGTAAATGTTAAATATAACAATACTAATGGACACATAAAGTACCATAAAATATTAGAAATACATTGTTGTAAGTCTATACCAACAAAAAAATAAGAGATTTTTACATTATTTACACATCATTAATTAATTATATAATCTACAAAAGATCTTTCTAAATAAATAAATAATTACATTTCTCTTTTTTTAACCATCACAACAAATATAGGGGAAAACACTTCAAACATTGAGACAATATTGTCATAAACACTCACTCATGGAATATATAATTATAAAACATATAATACACACTTACCTCTCACTTTATATATAACATCTATATATATATATTATATTTTTATAAATAGTTTTATACTAAACAGATAAACATCATATTTATAAAAATTATTCAATAAATCTCTTAGGTTACATTTATACATTTATCACACTCATATTTAAAAAATTACAATAAGACACACAATTATGACTAAACATTCGCACAGTTCATAGACTTCTACAAATTATTTCTCCTGAGTATATAATTACTATAATAATGTTTTTATTTAAGTACACATTTAAAAATAACTATAGTCAATAAATATTAAAATTAATTATAATGTCTTTAATCGACATGCATTGAAATGCAGGTAAAATCAGTCATAGGAACGATAAAATCAATGGCAGAGAAGTTTGGTGCTGCTTAAAATATTCAAATATGTTAAAGAGGTTTTGAATTAAACATATCTTGTCAGCTGGGCATAAAATTCTTGTAAGCAAACTTGGAGTTGGGAAAATGTCGGTCGATCTTCCGGACAAATAGCCCAGCAGTAAGCCATAACAGCGAACCTAAACAAAAATTATAAGAATTATTTATTATATTTATCATTTTATACAGCCAGTAGTTATCATTATATAAATAGGCAAATACAAAACAGTTCAGTACCTTTTTCTCCTCTGTTTATCAACAGATTTTCTTTTTTTATTATTTTGTTTTTGTTTAGTAACTATTGGAGAGCTTTAGTGTTATCAATAAAAACAATTTGGAAAAAGTGTATAGAAATAAAATTTTATGATAGTTTGTTCAAAACCACTTATATCTGAAAGTTCTTCACCAATTTTTCTGCGAAATTTTGACACAATGGAGCAATAAAATTCAGAAGTGTTTTTAAATACATTTCATTAACATCCGGCCTTTTGTTTCGAAATGACAGTTGAAAAACGTCTTTTCCTGTGGACTACAATGCCAAAATGATTGTAACCATTTTAATGAAACTTGGCTAAAGTATTCTCCTTGGAACCCCTTTTAATTTATGTATGCAATACCCTTCCCCAAAAAGAGGTTGAAAAAAATCAACGATACAGAACTTCATTTGAAAATAATTTAAAAAGTACTCTAATGGTATTGAACTGTTTTGTATTGTAAGAACATATAAAATAAAAGTATGTGTACGAATGTAGAAAAAAAATGTTAGAAAGATGCAAATTCATATTTATTTTTCTGATATTTTCATTAAGGATTATGGTAAAATTTCGAATATGATAATAATTTCAATGAAACATATAACAAACCAACAGATAATAATATGAATTGTCATATTATTCATATGAAATCATATGACTTCATCTTGCTATGGACCATGGATTCCAGGGCACCCCTCTATAACAGATTTCTTTGGGGCCAATCTGGCAGTGCCCTTCCCACAGGCCTTGTCTCCTTCAAGAACAGTGGTCGCCACCCATAGATTATGGCTACCCAGAGTTAGCAGACACATGAGGACCTATATTTCTTTCCTATACAGTATCCATGGACCAAACCACACTGTCATCCAGGTGTGAGATGCCTCCAGTAGACTGAAGGGTCTCACATAACAGGAAGAGAATTTGGCAAGCATGGTTTTTTCCAATGGACGGTCATCCATACAATTAATTGCCACACTTAACACATTAGCAGCGAATACAGTCCCCGGGTTCCGATAGTAGTCTTAGACTACCACGTGGCCAGGAATGTTTCGAATGTTTCCTATCTTAGGAAGTCTAAAATGGTCATTTTTAAAATTATTTGAATGGGAGTTGGATAGATGTAAACGTATAAATGAAATAATCATTATATCTCATATAAAGCAGTAAGATGGCGGGGACCGATACCGTACCATACTGATAAAAAATGATTTTCCTAAGGTATCATCCTCCAGCGCCCAATACATATTCCTGTCATGACAGGACAGTACACATGCATGATCTTGTTTTCAGGCCTCTGTCGTGCAATAGCTCTTGAGAGTATTTCTTGTATGGTCTTATCATATGTTCTTCTTGCTTATTTAACATACCTCGTTGTCAGAAATTGGTGGCTATGGCATAATCTTGCCAAGAAGAAAAGGAAATCTATAGCAATGGTAGTGAGTGTGATTATTCAGGTATCATGTGATTATTCGATAGCGGGCAAGGATTATTTACCTTTGTCAATCATACATCATATGTAATAAATAAACTTTTTCTCATTTAATTTTCAATATTTAAGATTTATATCCCTAAAAATAACACTTTTTTACTTAAACATAGAGAAATAGTAATAAATTCATCATATAAACGGCATTAGATGACAGAGTACACTCTTCCATTGCTAGCCATTAATGAAGATATAATCGACAGATATGGCACTGAATAAGGAATTTAGTTCATCTTTGTTGTCAAAATATACAGATATATCTTGAAACCGATGTATGTTTCCGGCATCGTCACCAGGGACCGATACTATCGGGAAAGAAATTTAAGAGATATCAGGCTCAGCAGCTAATGTGTTAATCTATTATCTTAGCCCACTGGGCCATTCCTATCCCCAAAAACCAATAAATTAACAAATAAAATTTGACCTTTCCAAACCTTGTTTACTTAAAAAAAAAAAAAAACTCACAGTTCATCCGGACAGTTTACAGGTTGAGCCAACCGGTAACCATCTCTAAGGTAAGCAGCGATTTCAAATGGATCAACTTCGACATAAGGCTGTTGTGCCAAAGTCGTCAATTCCCAGAGTAGCACTCCAAATGACCACTGAAATAAATTTTAAAAATTGATAAAATTAATTAAACAAAAAACATTAAAATTAATTATTCAAAGAAATGTAATGAATGCGAGTATACTAACAACATCTGAGAATGTGGAGAATGATTTGAGTGTAAGGCTCTCTATCGCTAGCCATTTGACAGGTCTGTTCTCGTTATCACCGAGGCAATGATAATCAGCGGGGAACAGATCTCTCGATAGAGCATTGTCTGTTATTTGAACTCTTAGTTTGTCATCAACACTGTAAGAATAAAGATATTTTGAATTAGTTACTCAGCAGGACAACTCAATAAATAAGTCATTTATACAAAGAATATAAAATATTTATATTAAGGCTGAAAATAATAATAATAAATTATTATAGAGAACTTACACACAGTTCCTTGTGGCTAAATCTTTATGAAGGAGCCTCTTTTTGTGCAAATACTGCATTCCGGAAATTATTTGGAGAGCCATGTCTACTACTTCCTGTGTAGTCAATGTATGAGCCACACCTTCGGGACACAGCTTACATTTTTGAAGAAACCTGAAAACAAAGTTATCGATGATTCACGGAACTAAAAAAAGATTAAGATTAAATATATTATAATAAAAATATTTGACAGAATAGTTTACCTCTTCAGATTAGTGTATCCCTGGTGCGGATATATGAGGAAAGGTGCGGTGTGGTCTTCGATAGAAACGCCAAGAATAGAGAGAATGTTTTTGTGACTCAAACCATACATGGCCATTCCTTCTTGAAGGAGCAAAGATATCTGGATAGATGAAGCTTGATCTGAAAAATTAAAATAGTTTTATTTGATTAAAAAGCTATACAAATTGTATTACATTTAAAATAATTATAATAAAGATAACTTTATAGCAGGTATAATAAAAAATTGTATAATTTTCGGAAATCTAATTTTACCAATCTTCATAGCTTTTTTTCCAACTTCTTTTCAGTGAAGTATGTTATATAGATAAGTAAATAAAAGGTCTTCGAAGGAGAAGACTCTAGGCAAGTTCCATTAATATCGATACCTCCGTTCAGTCACTACAATCTTTCAGCCACCATCTTGAAAGAGAAGTACTTTTCGGTAAAGTATGTTCTATATATAAATTTAGGCACTACAGTCTATATCAACACACATTTTTCGTCTGCCATCTTGAAAGGATGACAATGTCGAGGTAGGAGGATCATCGTCGGGCGACCTCTGACTTTGATTCCAAATCTCAATAAAATCGGTCCAGTAATCTCGGAGAAAAGCTGCGGACGAGGGACAATAATATGTTTTTATTTGATTTTAGAGTTCTACGGATCGTGAAATATAAAACTCAAATTTTAAGGTGGGTTAACTTTTTGAATTTTTCGGTCAATTACAATGGCTCATTATTGAAAATCATAAACAAAAAAATTAATAAATAATGGTGTGAAGGTAGTTTTCAACAGATCTTAATGTTTCAGAGTTCCCAAAGCCTATTATTTGAAAGGTTATTAAAATTCCGACTAAACTATAAAAACGTTATCTAAATCCATCTACCGACCGGTTATAGCAACGTTACAGTGTATTGAAGTCTAAACGCTTATTTTTAAATAGTTGAGGTCCCCATTCATCAAATAAATGATAATCTACTCATTTTTCAGAATAAGTATTCTAATCCAATGTTTTTTTTATTTTTTTAATGGACATATTTAAGGTTGTATAAATTTGTCTAAAATTGGTAGGAAAGTTGTGTAAGTGGACACACCACATTTTTGTTTGCATCCTCACCATCAAAGGTTTTTTTTTTTGTAAACCTTCTTAAAACAAACAAAAGTACCATGGCCTTGTGTTCCATACAATGAAACTACCTAAAGTAATTAAATTTGATATGATTTATTACATACTGAAGGTACAAACATGTGAATCTAGATCTTGATAACAACTTAAAGTTGCTCAGTAATGTTGATTTTCTGAATTGAAGTGGATTTACATATAAATATAAAAATAATGATATAAAATTGGAAAAAAATAACCTAATTTTTCACAGAGTAACAGAATATAATTCTTCCTTATTTCAGTTTTCAATAAGAATATTTAACTATTTAGTTAAAATATTCTCTTTAGTTAAAATGTTTTTTAGAGTTTCATAAGATATTGATAAAGTTAATTATGGGCTAACAATTAGATAAGATGAGGTTAATGTAATGTCAAAAACACTGAAAAGTAATATAGCGAATTGATCTGAAGATGGGGAGGATGTTGATCCCGAAACTTCCTAACAAACATGTTATAAATATTTTTTATAAAGAGTGAAACAATGAATTTTATTCACTTACTCCCAAAGTGAACATTATTTTGAATAACGTGTATATAAAATATGAAAGATCAGACTCTAAAGGCAGTTTATTTAAAATTGAAAATGAACCGTTTTTGAGATAATACATGATAAATAGTTTGAAACCACACAGGCTCATGTCATTTGTAGTGTTGCTATGGAAACATGTTGCATGTCATTGATTAGGTTCCTATGAATAAGATAGGAGGAGGGTACCTTTATAAATTATTTCTCAAAAGGTGTTTTTTTGTTGGCACTTCATGAATCGTTTGAGATTAAGTTTCTTTTCCTAGATCAATTACAATTAGTGAACAAAAGAGAATTGATTCCTCCATCTTATGATAAGGTTGCATTAACTTATCTTCTTATTATTTTGAACATCTTTATACTTTGTGAATTATTTGCATGGGCCAACAAGTATTTAAATAAATAAATATTTACCAGAGTTATACATATAATATACTATAATAAAATTCTATCAATGACATTACCTGTAACCGTTTTAACAAGAACCTCTTCTTCGAGGCCATCCTCTTCAGTATAAGTTCCTCGGTAGACCCTGCCGAATGTTCCTTCAAGCACAATGCTTCTTAGCCTTACTCTGCACCTATAACATTAGAAACTTTATAATATGCATCATAAAGTAAAAGCTTTTGAATTACAAATTTTTTATCCTAAATCTATTATTATTAAAACCACAAAGGAGAGAGGAAAAAACCCTGTACAACCCATGGAAGGTTTTAGGTTCAGGTATTTTGTAAGAAAGTACTGTATCTTTGTCAACGGTTGGGCGAGGAAGTGATATGACAGAGATCACACTGAACAGTCAGATTTTTTCCCTTAATTAATTATTTAATTAAGAGTTATAGAGACTAGGTGTGTGTGTGTCCCAGGAGGATCTGCTGACATCAGGGTCGATCCACGGCTGAAGAAACAGAATAAATAAACAGCAGTCAAAACCGGATTTGAACTCAGAACATCAAGTATAGGAGCACAGTGCTTTACTCACTGAACTATCCGCTAGCTATCTATTATTTTCTTGAAAGCTTTTTTAAATGTTTTAAATGAATTTTATCTCTTTGAGATAGCTAATAAAGAATACCAAGATGAATTCATGACACAATATGAGGATATCCACAATTATTGTTGGGTACATGAGTCACATACAATTATTCTTCACACATATATATCCATAAAAAAAAAAAAAAAAAAATGTTTAAACTAAAATGAAACAGGAATTAATGCATATACAAACGTTTTGATTAATATACCTTTGAACAGTAAGCTGGGCTATCCTGTGATGTAAGTCCGCAGGGTTGGATGGAGGTATGTTGGCAGTCGTGCGATGCCTCGAGCTTGCACAGCTTCCACTCGAGGAGCCACAACTGAGGACCGGAGCTGGAGTCAGGAACGGACCACTGCTGCTAGAACCGAGGCGAGATTCTCTCAATAATCTGCTGCAACAGATTAGACAAATATTTTAATTTAGAACAGATAATGTTATTTACTTTTTAATTAAAAAGCTTTATTCACTATACTCCAAGTCCTTAAGTCTATCTTCAAGGACAATTTTTCGTTACAGTTATATTTTCCTTATTATAACAAAGTTGCAAAATTCCACTTTTTGTCATTATCATCCACACTATACATTTATTTCTTAATTTTCTTAAAATTTACTAAAAATTACACGTTTTGAGGAGAGTGTTGCTCGATAATAATTCCATTGTTATACTGCATCCATCATTACTGAGCAACATTTCCTGCCCTCCTCCCCTCCCCAAAAAACATGTATTTTTAGTAAATTTTAAGGAAATGAAAAAATAAACTAATATTTATAGTGGATGGTAGATGACAATGCGTGGAATGTTGCAAATTCATTATAAGGAAAATATAAATGTAACGACATATTGTCCATGTAGATGAATTAACATCGACGATAGAAGATAACAAATAAAAATTAATTAAAAATGAAAGATGTTACTTAGAAAAACAATGGAAATTTACTAAATAACGTTTTCTCTTTCTATAATAAATACTTCATCATAATCAATAATAGAGTTATTATTTTGAAGATTACCTTCTTTGCTGATGGTGAAAAATAAGAAATAATTCTTAAAAAAGTAAGATTTTTTTTAATTTGACTAAAATACTTTCTATAATCTAACTGTGAGACTTGGATAGGTTTCTTCATTTTTTTCTAAACATTTTATTTCTATAATATATGGATTAATAAATAGGTTAATATGTGGATTAAAAGTGTATTTACTAACAAGTAAAGGTAGCAGAATCAATCATCAATCACAGAATTAGGAATATAAGAATAATAACTTATACAGTAAGGTATGCAATTTTTAAACACTTTGATTAATGTGACTATGAAACTTTAGATGCTACTCGATAAGTTGAAGTATAAAAAATACCCACCCAGTCTGATGCATTGTTTCTTTATTAGTCCTTAGGTAGCATGCCAGAAGTGCTATTGCTAGGAGAGTAGCAAGAGCACAGACACAACTGATAGCAACGTATACCGCTGCAGGAGCTTCTGGTCTGGTCCCATCCTGTATCACGCCGGAGCTGTTTTCTGATAAATCTAGAAAGAAAAGCAAAAAAAAAAAAATAAAATTTATAATACTATCATAATTATCTAAAGAAGCCTAGTACTTTTGAAAATTACAAATTTTAGGAAAGCATCTCTCAATTCTTTATGGCAATATAAAAAAATAGTAAATAATAAGAATATATCTGAATAGAAAAAAAAATGTTTAAAATTATTAAGAAATTTATTGAATTAAATGGATTAGCATAAAGAGCACAGATGTTTGAATTTAAATTAGATCAGGGGTGTTGTTAATGGTTCACCATAAGAATGATGTTTTGCGGTATAAGTCTTCCTATCAAAAATTTTTGAGGTGGCACATTTTGACAGGGTTTTGAATTTTTGAGGAGGAGACAGCATATTTTGACATGGTTATGAATTTTGAGGAGAAAACATTTTGACTGGGTCATGAATTTTTGGGATGAAAATTGTCAAATCATAGGACAAGCAGAAAACTTGGAACATACCACAGCAAGTGTGATTGTATATGATAGATGATTTTTAAAATCTATTTTCGGTTGAACTGTTTTAAGAAGAGGAGAACATCTTGAAAGGGAGGGAAACGTTTATGCGCTATTGACCTTGGGGGCACCCCTGAATTAGATTGGTCCACAAAATTGTCTAATAGAAGAAAATTAGTAGGCTTTGTGAGAGGAAACTGTTTTTACACAAATTCTTTATAAGTCAATGAATTTTGAGACAAGTACCTAACACAAATAGGGAATAAATTATTATTAAAGGGGACCAGGGTGCCTGAGCAGGCTAATGTGGTTGCAATAAGTAATCAAAGTTAAGCAATCGTGAGTTTGGTAAGTATTTGGAGGGAAGACTGCCAAGTGATGAAAGCAACATACATTTGAGTACTTTAATTGTCTTCTCTCAATTTTTGTATTAACCAGTCTGACAATATAACAAAGTAATTCTTTCGAAATGCGAATGGGCCATGATTACATTGATAACAGTACGCCAGACTCACATTACAGGATGTTTAGTTTAGGTTAAGCTATATTTATCTGCCTTTTGAGGAGGTGTTAAGTGGAGTTTTTATTGTTCATTAAAATCATTACTGCTTTAACTATATCTCAACTATCAATATTTTAATATATGAACAAAACCCTCATGAGTCCTTTTAAATAGTGTGGGTACTTTTGTATATTTGATGATGAAAATGATCCTTTTTCACTGTTAAATTCATTGCTGTAAATATGTAAGCCGTAATAATAACTAATAATCCCAATAACAATCAAGATTCAAATTAATCGGGATCGGTGACCTCTGTCTATTTCGGACAGTCTAGGTAACTTTCAAAATTCCATAAATTGTGTGATCGATGTGATCTGGTGTCATGGATTATGGCCGCTTAGTGAACAGACAAACATGGACCTATATTTGTTTCCCTGAAATAAAACAAAATACGGACAACTACTAGCATTGTGTCATCCTATAGGAGGTAACTCTCACTGACGGGGTGTAGGAGTGTCGACTCTACAACAATATTGGTCAATGTTCCGTTGCTGATTAAGGGGACATAATCCATGAACCTAGATCACACAATTTATGGAATTTTGTAAGTTGCCTAGAGTGGTCAAAAGTAGACAGATGTGACCGATTCAGATTAATTTAAATCTTGAGCCTAGTCACAGGATTGATTAATAGTTATTGCAGGTTAAATCTATCTATCTATCAATCTATCTTATTATGTTATGTGAAATAAGATTAGATAACAAGGGAGGTTTTGACGCTACCCACTATTATACAAGTACCCAGCGACATTATATCAAACTTCTTTATTACCTGAAAAGTATGAGAGAGAGCAGATTATAAATATAAAATTAAAATATACCTCTTAGACAGATCTTTTTCCTCCTGAAGTTCAATTGAGTGACATTGTTCCTCCCCAACGTGACGTTGAGGGAGATGACCAGATTTACTTCGGCGTCATAAAGTCCTGAGCAAGGCAGGGTCACGGACCACGTCTGGACAGTGGTCGGTATGGCGCCGAAAGCTGATATATTGAACTTGGCCGGAAGCATCGCCCCGTCATCCTGGCTTTCGACTGTCATCGAATAGGAGACCTGGAACAGTAACATAGCCCGATATAGCAAACGATATAATTCAAACGGGAATAGGTATATATGAATAATAGATATATATTAATAAGAAATAGACAAAAAAGAGGCAACATTAAATATATTTATATTTCTTATTATAAGAGAGTCTAATTTCATATGAAGATAGAGATTATCACTGCCTTATCAGAATTATCAGTGTTCAGGTTATAAACATTGGCAGATAGCAGTCCATCCCGACCGGATTGTTCACAAGTACCGAGGTCTGTACCAACAAGAGTTTGCAGAAAGTAAACAGAAAAAAAACCAATTGTAAACATAATAAATCAGGAAAAGATACTAGATTCTAATTCAGAAGTGTTCCTTCTAGACGATGCTTGGTCAAGATCATTTCAATTACATCTTACATAGAGTGTGATAGCGGAGTATGTCCTATAACAGCAATGTTTATGTTAGGAGGAATCTAGTTCCAGAACGACCTAGTAATAAAGGCATGTGAATTTGTGAGTGGCCAATATCCTGGAAAGAGAAATGGTTCATAAGAGCAGCTTAAGAACAGAATCAAAGTGCAGTCTCTGAAAAAAACTAAGGATTCTTTAGTGACCTTCAAAGATAAATAGATGATTGCGAAGCCCCATCGTTTTAGGGGATATGAATTTTTGACATGATTGTAGTTATGAGAGTTGGCCCTTATATTGGATATGGCGAACGACATGTTCATAACGAATACAGTCTTTCTGGATAGAGAATTTCGTCATTGATATACAATAGAAGGACTGGGAAGAAATGAAAAATCTATTAGAGACTACATTCTGGTCAAAAGAGATGAAACGGAGCAAAAGTTTAAATGAGTATTCGAGACAGGAAGGGACCAGAAAATAGTCATCAAATCAAATCGCTTAAGGCACTAGTGGATCCAGAATTGAATTTGGGGGGGGGGCTTCAGCCCGAAAGATTTTTTTTTCATATACATATAACGATAATTAATTTGAAAAAAATAAAGAAATTAACTACCTACATGAAATGGTGTTTAAGAGGTTCTTGAAATCCTATTAAATGTAATTAAACGAACAAGAATACTTTAAAAGATAGTTTTTAATACTTTTTTTTCTGTAAAACATGATTATATTTTACCATTTGGGAGGGGGGCTTCAGCCCGAAACCCCCCTCCTCCCGTAGATCCGCCTGTGGCTTAAGGCAGGATGAAGTGTCGACTTATTTCTAAGAAGAAATAGAAAAAATGGCCTAAGACCACAGCAGATGTGAAATCGCAAGGACATTAAGAGTTTTGATGCCTCGAAACTGACCTGCGACGAAAAAAACATTGGATCTGGTCCCAAGAGAACGACCTGGTGGATTGTTGACATGAAAACGGCCATCAAAGAAGGCCTCTAGGAAGAAACACCAGAGCCTGAGAACTCCTGCTGCCTGTCAAATTAAAATTGCTTGAAGCAACAAGCAAATCTTGCGAAGATTTTGGTCATAAGCAAGAAGAAAACAAGAAAATCTACAGAGTTCTTAAAGGAATGAGGTGGAATCGACTGACTTTCTAGAAAGAAATCAAGGAAAATAATGGGAATATCATCTGGAGAGACGATCACATGAAAAGATAAAAGGAGTATTTTAAAGCTCTGCTGAAGAAGAGAGATGTGCGAAACCAAGAGGAATGTAGAGGACCTGTATTGTTAAATTTATTATTTCTACATTACAATGAAACTTCCTCTAGATCAATTCAATTAAACATAGATCAGTACATCAGCAAAATACACAATGCACACAGAAATTAATGACTAAACGATGAAGATCCAGCGACTCTAATATATCAGAGGGAGTGGATAAATTGTTATCAAACGCTATCAATCATTATGAGATATCCGCCATGATGGCTGTCGTTAACCTCTCCTTCAAGGTTAACCAATCATCTCTTCGTCTCGTTAACCTTATACTTAATTGGCCCTTTCCTGGCAATTTCTTCCTTTTATTTTTTTTTTCTCTCGAAAAATATTAAAGTCGATAATTGTTTGTTTGCATTTGTCGTTTTTTGCTAACTACATAAACGCCGAAAAGACTTAATGATAAGGAAGGACTCATGATGGATCGAGCAGAGAGGTGTAATATAGGCAAACCGGTTTCCTGCCCGAGCATCCTCTTGTCGACCAGAGGTTCACGTAGTTCGGGATGTAAATAACAAGGAGGTAGGCTGCTTCTTCAAAAAACTAATAAACAATCAGCTGGTTATTTTATAATTTCACAGCTCGAAACGTTGTAATAAGGGCTTTTGTATTCCTTGAAGACACCATATATAAGTTTAAATAATTGTTACTTAAAGTTTATTTATTTTTGCCCTTAACTCTGGCAGTGTTAATAAGTCACGAAATATTTTTTAAAAAAATAGTTACAGGATCTCGAACGAAGATCGACTTTAACTCTAAACAAACATTTAGGAATCGATTATCGAAAGTTGGCAGAGGCTGTGCCTTGTTAACGCCCCCCCTCCCCCCTCCTCACCACCACCCCCTCCTCCAGGTCAAACAGACAGGCACAATTTATGAGCCGAAGAGAGGATATGGGGTTCCACTGGCACTTAAGTCAACAACACATCGGGCGTTATTTCCGATGATGTGTTGTTTGTTGTTTAGCTTCGGCAGCTGCTTCCTTTTGTTAGTTCGAACTGTTGTTTCAGGTAAACAGACGAACCCTACAACAGGAAAAGACATCCTAGGAAGGAATTCAGGAGCTGTTGTGTTAATATGACTGGAGTAATATCTCCGAGGCAATGTCCTAGGCGTTTCTTATCAAGAACATATCTTGATGACTCCACAGATATATCGGAGATATCTAGAAGTGCAGTGGATTCTTTAGTAGATGTTTAGCAGTTAGGGAATTATTTGCTAATGCCATTACAAAAATTATAACATTTTTGTTTTGTTCACACCCTACTTTTCCATTTCTGGCGTATGGAAAGGTGGTGTTTTTTTGGAAGGTATAATCTACGTGGGTCGCCACGAAATAAATTACAACCCACCCAGACCTGATTCGAATAGGTGGCGCTAGATAAGAGAATGTTAAAGTGGGCAACCCTCGAACACGGCCTAAGAATGTGGGTCGGGCCATCTTCAGGACCATTTCGACTGATTTCCTAATTATCTATTATCCAAGAAGAACTTTCATACAGTGAATTATATACCATATCTACTCTAAATAAAAAAATAAATAAATATTCGTTTGTTCAAAACCACTAATCTCCGAAACTTTTTCACCGATTTCTTGCAATTTTGACATAACGTTTCTACCGTATTGAAGAGTGTTTTTATATACATTTAATTTTCTCCGGCTTTTCGTTTTGGAAAGGCGGACGAAAAACGTGTGTCACTATAGACTATAGCGCCTCAACGGATGTAACGATTTTAATTAAACTTGGCTAAAGGTTAAAGTCCTTTAAGCCCTTTTAAGTTGTATAAAGAACATGCTTCTTCGAAAAGTATGAAGTTACGATTGATTCAGAACTATATTTGCGAATAACTCAAAAAAGTACAAATTTTTTGATTTATTATAATTATGAGAGAGAATCACTTTATTATCATAAAATGGGCTGCCCAATTACATTGGGTTGCTAAAAACACAGCATACTTATTAATCATTACAGAAAATTTTAAAAATTTTTATTTGTGAATCTGTTTATTTATATTGAAGTTTAACCAACTCATGGTGGTCTCGATTTCTACTCTTAAATATCAAAGTTGTGTGAACTTCACAAATATTTTTATATTCCAGCTTGATTAGTTTTGTTCTGACTAAAAAAAAGTATTGGTCTCGTTAACTCCGAACAAACAAAAAGTTGAACTTTTCCTATGGATTTTTTGTTCCACCTATTTTACGAGTGAAAACATAAGCTATTAAGTATATATCACTACCGTTAGTGCGAATGGTCGTATGCCAAAATTTTCAACTTTAATTCTATTTTTGTTAAAGATGATATTTTATAGTTTGCAACTGATATAAACAGTCAGACAACAGCTACGATGGAAAATAGCAGAGGACAATAAAATATAAAATTATACTAATAAATCATAAAGAAACAATTACTTTTTATGCTCTCATGCAAAACACTCAATGTTTACATTAATGTTCATCATGCACTGGGATTTTTTTTTTAAATCACGAATCATCAAATATGCAATCCGCAAATGCGGAACTCTTGCGCATTTTAATATTCGCTGATGAACAAAACCCGTGGAAATCAAACCTGTATATGTTGAGGGATTACTGAATTTCCGAAAACGGCTTTTCCCAGAGATTTTATTCTCATACGAAAAATTTTAGACATTTTAATACAGATATTATTTAGCCAATGAAAACCGTGAAACGGTGAGGTATCTATACTGACTTTACTTGGCAGAGGTTTTTTTTTTAACGTTTCGGCTCTAAAAGCCATTTAAAAAAAAAAAAAAAAACCTTAGTCCGATTAAACAATACCTCTAAAAAAAAAAGATTTATAAAATAAAATAGCTTTTTTAGTTTTAAAAAAATATTTTCTATTATTACATATACAAATATATTTTATAAAAAAAAAATAGAAATAATGTTTCATTGTTTTAAAAAATAAAAAGAAGTTTTGAAGAGAGCTCTTGGAGCCTTAACATTAAAAAAAAATGTTACAATGTATAATAAAAGGCTCTGATATTGAAAAGGGTTTGATAAATAATTAATCATACTTAGATTTACTATAATAATTATTAAAAAATCTCACAAGATAATATGAACAACTAAATAAGGTTATTTATCATATGTTTAAATATAATTATATACATATTTATTTACATTAAAAAAAAATATACTAGTACAACTCAGTCGACGCACGGCTGATATAACAGAATAAATAATAACAGTCCTCAACCGGATTCGTACATTTAGATTGAAGCATAAGAGCACAGTGTTTTAATCACAGATTTTTTAAATTTTATTTTATTATAAATCTCGTTTAAATATCCCGCTAGCATATATTT